ATGTGCAGGTCATATTGCATGTGGGGGATATAAGGGAGCTTTGCTCTCAGCTTATCTTGGGTTTGACTCTCTGCTCTCACTTGGGAGTTTAGTGACTTTGTCTGAATCGGTTGTGTTCTTTATCTGTAAAACGGAGACACAGATACCTACTGGACAGAGTTACTAGGACTGAAGGTGACATTGTAGACTGTGTGCGTCCCCAGCTGCTAGGAAGTACAAGACAGAGAGGTGAGTATAATTATTTCTCTTGAGAAGGCGAGTGAAGTGAGGGACAGCAGAACCTTGGGAGGAGCCTCACATCAACAGTTTGCCACGTACCTCGGGACCAGAGCAAGCTGTGACTTTGTCATGGAGACCCACAAGCTCAGATGTCCAGGCTTGTCCCAAGGTACTGGGATCACAAGGGGTAGTGGATTCTCCATGCAATAGGCTGTCAGCCAGCAGATCCCGTTTCAGTCCTTGGGATAGTTCTCGTAGCTTGCAAGATACAGAGGGTGCTGTTCTGTGCTCTGCGGTCAGGCGCTCATGTGGGTGAGTCCCAGAGAGGCCAGTTAGAACACCCAGGAGGAGCCTTAGCACTAGTCTGCTGGGCCCTGGGGTGAGAATCTCTGGCATTTGGGTAGGGACATCTCCCACCCAGAGCACACCCAAGGAAAGAAGGGCTGAGCTGCAGGGCGCGTCAGGCAGTCTAGACATCTGGTCCTGGCTGCCAGCCTGTGATTTCATCCCTGGGGACACACAGTCGACATGCCACCGAACTCCTGAGGGGTTCTGAAACTTTCAGCTTGGAATAAGCACAGATAGAAGTCTAATTGGGCCTTCACTTTTAGCTCATAACTTCAGAGGTTTGAGGAATTTTGGGCTGGCTTGGCTGTAGCCACTGTTATCACCCTTTGCTTTCCTGCCCAAACTTGTGGCTATTTGTGGGGAAGGGCCATAGTTCTGCTGCCTGACTTCTAGCAGATGCTCCCTGGTTCTTTCCCATGACTTTCAATATCTTTTGTCTTAGGCCAGCTAAGAAGCCAGTCCGTGTCTGATATTAAAAAAAAAAAAAATAAAGTTAATACCACTAGAAATACTTATTAAGTAAAAAATTCACTATAAGGCAAAAGCCACTTTAATTAGCTTTTTCTCAGTTCAGTATTTTGGTTAAATGAAATTGCCTATTTTATGTCTACATTTTCTTTTGTGTTCTGAAATGTGCATATAAAGACCGAAAAAAGTCATAGTTTTCAGGTTTCTGGCATAACTGGTACACAGATATTTTTTTCTTGCTCTAAATCGATTTAATCTGTCTGGAAAACAACCTAGCTGCATGTAAGCAAAGTTACAAAATTATTCATAGCTTCCCTTACCACTGGCTGGTCAATTTTAGGACTTTATCCCAAGGAAATAATCTCCCTAAAAACAGAGGAACTAAAATATGCCTTGCACAAAGTGTTTCTCCCTCTCTGTAAGACTGAAAATGTATGGTGCTGTGACATGTAGGCCTGGGTGAGAAGTGGTGAGGGCTTCAGGGGCCGTAGGGTAGCGTCTGCCATCCTGCAGCCTTGCAGTCCTCTGTGAACAGAGGGGGTGCAGGGGAGAAAGGCCACGCTCCAGATCGTGTGCACTTAGTGATTTTTGTCTCATGGCCCAGGCTGCCCGAAGTTCTTCATGAGCTCCTTACTGCATAACTTTAAGTATGTGTGCTCCAGGGGCTCCATTTGACTTCTCCACACCCAGCACTGGGGAGGACTGGGGAGATTCCTGACCTCTTTTTTTTTTTTTTTCTTTAAAGATTTATTTATTTTTACCTATTTATGATAGAGAGAGGCAGAGACACAGGAGGAGGCAGAAGCAGGCTCCATGCCCGGGAGCCCGACGCGGGACTCGATCCCGGGACCCCAAGATCACGCCCTGGGCCAAAGGCAGGCGCTAAACCGCTGAGCCACCCAGGGATCCCCTCCTGACCTCTTTCATACCTGGGCCCCAGTACTGTCAGGCTGCATCCCTACCAACTTAGAATTTAGAACAATGTAAGCATGATGTGTGCTCACTGACTGGGTTGCTTGAATTTATATAAAATAAAACAATTAAAAAAAATAAAACAATTTTGGATAGGATAGTAGTTCTTTTTTATTTCATTTTTATTTTTTAAGATTTTATTTATTTGATTGAGAGAGACAGCAGGGGCAGGGGAATGGCAGAAAGAAGGAGAGAGAACCTTAAGTAGACCCCCTGCTGAGTGTGGAGCCAGATACGGGGTTCAACTGAGCCACCCAGGTACCCCAGTAGTGGTTCTTTTATTACAGTCTGGAATATATGTTCATGTGTGTGCAAGCTTCTCAATAGCTTTGCATCTGATATCTGCCTCTCAGTTGAGCATCACAATAACTTAGATTTTTCATGAAAAATCCCAGACTTATTTTTGAGGTTCCTACAGTTTTTGGATAATAAAGTCCCTAGTTTTAGACAGAGAGGATTTTATATAAACTAAGGTTTTAAAATGAGCATTTCCAGTTGGTAGAATATAATATATGCGTGTGTGTGTCCGGATATCTTTTTGCAGAAGTTTAAACAATGTCAGTGAGCTCTTCTTGGTGGATGTCGTAGAGAATCTGAGGAAGGCTGGTTTGGGGGCCTCGTGCTTTATGTTTCTATCCACTTGTGTATTTACAGACACGCCCACATGCACCCTACTACCTGCGTACGTACATCCAAATAAATATATGCACACAGGCACACATGCATTCTTCATGTGGTTTTCTCTGTCTGAATTGACTGCTTTCAAACTCTCATTTTAATGTCCAGAATAGAGTTCTGACCTGTGGGGAGATGACATCCACAATTATTCCTAGTTTCTGGAGGCAGCAGAATGCCCCAAATACTCCTTGATAAGAGGTCATTGGAATGGCTTGCTCTGGTGGGATTGGCTGTTTTTATGCTGATGAGCACATAGCTGAGAGCTTTTCAAATTTCTCCCAAATTCGGCATACATTTTTGAAGAAAAATTTTGAAAATGACGTGGCTGATTCCACAGATGCTCGCCTTCTTCCCTCACCCCATCAGTGGAGGGCATCAGTTGCTTCAGCTCATGTGCTTCCATGGGAAAAGAAAAAGGTGAATATGACCTTGGCCTTCCCCTGAGGGGGAAGCAGGATGCGTGTGCGCACACCCACGCAAACACACATGCACATATAAATGCTGCTGAAAGTTAAAAATGAAGTGCATTAGAAAAATGGAAGTTTGAGTAAGTGTATAGACCATTCCTTGGATAACTACAGTGGATCCCTTCCTGGTTTTCTGCTAGTAAAGTGAGTGGGGAAGTATGTATGTGCCATTAAGTCAGAAAATAATAAGAGTACCACTTACATAGATATTTGAAAACCACTGCTCTAATGCTTCTCCTCAATAACTGCCTTGGACTAGACCCCACAATCTCATGCTGTCTCTTCAAAAAAATGCCTAACTTGTCCCTGACGCCACACAGCTAACAGCCTTTCAGGTACAGCCTGTGATCCTCCCTGGCTTAGTATCTCTCAGATGCTGGATAGAACCCATAGCCCTTTGTGTACCATACAAGTGTCAGGATCTGCCTCTGAGCCCCATCCCTCACTAGCTACCACACGCACGCCACCAACCGCAGTGTGCTGTGGCTTCGGGATTTGCAATTCAAGACAAATCTAGCTGAACTCAGCCGTACATTCTGAGACTGTACTGATATCTTAAGGAGTCTTAAGAAATGTAATGGAAAAAAAAATGTAATGAAAAGCACTTTTTTTTTGTAAAATATAGTTTTCAAAGTAATCATTTATACAAAGATATATAAAATGTACTTGTCACTTAGCATTCACTGAAGAGCTGTGTGTTCTTTTGTGTCCCCTAGTGTGGAAAGACTATTCAGAGTCCTTTCAGCTTTCTCTGGGAAGGCTTTCCAGAGAGGGCATGTAGATTAGTGATCAGTTGCTGTGTAACAAATGACCCCAGAATTTAGGAGTTTAAGCCCATGGACTTTATCTCACATAGTTTTCCTGGGTCAGGAATCCAGGAAAGGCTTAGCCGGCTGGTTCAGGCTCATGGTTGGTCATGAGGTGGCAGTCATCTGATGATTGGGGAGGATCCGCCTCCCAGCTCACTCCCAAGGTTGTTCAGTTCCTTGCCACGTGGACTTGGCCATCAGCTGCCTGAGCGTGCTCACAACATGGCAGTTGCCTTCCCCTGGGCAGGCCTTCTGAGAGTGAGACCAAGCCAGAAGCAGCAGTCTTTTATACCTAACCTCAGAAGGGACGTACCATCCCTTCTGGCACATTCTGTTGATTGCAGAGCCCAGTCCTGGAACTGTGTAGGAGGGGGTCTATGCAAAGGTGGGGGCCTCAGGCTGTGAGGTTTTAGGGCCCGTGGAAGCTGGTGGCACACCTGTTCCAAGGGGGTCTTGGAAGGGATAAGTCCTTAGGGAATCTGTGGTTGGAAGTGCACAGCCCTGCTCATGTGTTTTTCTTTTAACCAAGACTCCTTTCCTTTCACTGCTCATTCCTCTCCACCATCCCTCATAGTGCAGATTATGAAACACACGGACATTGATTTGCCTGCAGCCCTGATGTCCTCCCAGACAGGGAAGCTCCTACAACTCCCGAATCGCAAAAAAGGGGCTAGTGTTATTATCAGTAAGGCTCCCAAGGGGGAGCTTGGGAAATGCTGTCTCATTTCTTTTAAACCTGGGGCATGTGGGTGCTGCTTATTTCCTGGGTGTATATAAATACAAAGCTGAGTTATTACTGGAACCATTCTAAAAGAGTGAAAACTGCCAGGAACTTGGGTTGCTTTGGGAACTGAATTTCCTGGTTGCTCTGGTATCCAGGGGAGCTCTTCCAGATACATTTGCCTGTGAATCGTCCCATGTTGACTGAGAGTCAGTCTCCTGCCTTCTAAAGCTTAGTTGACTTAGTTGGTGAGTGACGGGGGAGTGGGACCCCGGGGCTCTTTGCTTAATGTGACTTGGCTGTCTTCGTCATCTTCAGGCAGGTTCCAGCAGTGGCCCAGGGCAGAGGGTGTGTGTCATCGATGAGATTGGGAAGATGGAGCTCTTCAGTCAACCTTTTATCCAGGCTGTTCGTCAGATGCTGTCCACCCCAGGGACTGTAGTCCTGGGTACGATCCCAATACCTAAAGGAAAACCGCTGGCCCTCGTGGAAGAAATCAGGAACAGAAACGATGTTCAGGTGTTCAATGTGAGTACAGCTAGTTCCCTGTGTCTGTAAAAATGGAGCAGCTGACCTCAAAGAGCAGGGTGGCTTTGAAACATACTTTTGCTCTGAATTACCATTTTTTCTCCTCCGAGGCCAGATACTGGTAAGTCTGATTTTCTAGGAATTTATGGAACTTAAATTTTGCCAGTCCTCGGTGAAAAAACACACTTCCCTGTGGCCACAGTTTGAAGCACAGCTGCTAAAAGAGTAACCCTGTCCAATAGAGCTGTCTGCAAGAATGGAAATGTCCAGTCTGCACTGGCCAGTGCAGTTGCCATCAGCCACCTGTGACTATTTATGTTTAAATAAAATAAAAAAACTCATTTCTTCAGTCACACTGGCCACATGGACAGCACAGCTGCAGAGCCTGTCAGGCAAAGTGATGTATGCAGAGCAGCCGTGTGGGCATCACCTGGGGGTTCCTAAGACGTGCAGAGTTGTAGGCCCGCCCTGACCCAATGAATCAGACCCTGGGCATGCGCCCAGCAGTCTGCTTGAACAAGCTCTCAGGTGGTTGTCAGATGCTTGTCGGGGGTTGTGCATAGAGCACGTATGAGAGAGGACCCGCTCCATCATACGAGCCCGTGGATGGGCCTCTGACAGCCCCGCTGGCACATTGCCCACATACTTGATTTCCTGTTGTCTCCTCATATCCTTCTTCAGTTAGGTAATTGCCTTGCCTCGCACTGCCTTGTCTGTCAGTGAGAGAGCCGTATTCCTGGCCAAGCTCTGCCTGTCCCCTCTCTCCCCACCCCCTCACCCCACCCCCGTTTAATCGCTCACCTGTCCTGCGACTGCCAGTGAGCAAGTCAGCTGGCGGGGTGACTCCTGTGGAGGGTGGAGAGTGAGGTCCTAACATCGCTGGCTAAAATGCCACCACCGTGACTCGCCGGCCCTAGTGGGATGTCCGTGTATCATCAGCAGAGCATCCAGGGGTACTCCCTCGGCAGTAAACAAATGTTAGGGTTAGAGCAGCCAGACTTGGAAAACTGCGCGTGCGCAGCCCTTCCTTCATTTAGTCAGCATTAACTGAGCATCACTGCATGCCAAGACGTGATGATGAACAAGGTCGACCAGGTCCTCGTCCTCCAGAGCAGACAGTCTAATCTCACAACAGTATAAACAAACAGTGGAGCCCTAGCAGATATTGACAGATGCATAGAAAACAGCCGGGTGGTGTGGTTGTTGGGCTGGAGGCAGCTGGGGACAGAGGCGCTACTGACAGGCAAGGTCTCTCTAGGGAGCTGCCTGGTGTGCTGAGGGCCCTGCAGCGTCACATGCTCTGTGATGTCTCTGAAGTCTGTGGGGGTCTTCAGAGTTTTATGTTGCTCTGCCTCTCACTTTCCATGGCCTCCAACTTAGAGTTTCTCATTGTGATTCTAGAGTTTCTGTGGAGGTAGAGGCGGTGTATAGAGAGATGAGGAAAGTCAATTAGTCTTCAGGCCAGCCAGCTTCCAGCCTGGAAGGTGGGGAGTTCCTGGCATTAAACTCCGGAGACTGGCTGCCTCTGCAAACCAGTAGAATCTCCCAAGTCCTAGATGGGATTGATAGAGGTTGGCTGTTATGCCCAGGAAGAAATGTTACATCTTAAGATAATGCCACATTTTCTGCTAAGACTGGAAATTATTCTCCAGGCAAGGTAATCATTGCTCCTAATGATGTGTAAATAAAGTGATTAGCTTTTGGTTAATGATGAAAGAGATAGGAGCTCACATAATGAAACAAACATCAACATGTGCCAATAGCAAGATGACGTAGATGTTGGAATTAGAGGGTGGAGACTTTAAAACAGCCGTCACGAAGATGCTTCAGTGATCAGTTGCAAACATGTTTGAAACAAATGAAAAGTAGAAAGTGTCAGTTTTAGCAAAGGTATGGAAGATACAAAGAAGAATCAAATAAAAAATTTTTAAGATTTATTTATTTATTCATGAAAGACAAAGACATAGGCAAAGGGAGAAGCAGGCTCTTCGCAGGAGCCCGATGCAGGACTGGATCCCGGATCCTGGGATCTCGACCTGAGCCAAAGGCAGCTGCCCAACCACTGAGCCATCCAGGAGTCCCTCAAATAAAAATTTTAGAACTGTAAAATACAGTAACTGAATGAGAAAATCTCTGGAAAGAATTGGTAAACTTGAAGGTAGAACAATAGAAAGTGCCCAAGAAAGAGTAGACTTGGGGGGAGAAAAAGAACAGCCTCAGAGACTTGTGATACTGTAATAAAAATCTAACATTCATGTCATTGGAGGATGGTTTTGGCAATTTAGAAACTTCTGTCATGGTGTGGGTGTGGGTATTGACAGTTGCCTTCCTCAAAATTATGCTTCTCTTTTGGAGTTTGGTTAAATTTTTTTCTCATGTCTTGTAGAGTTTACTGGTCTCTAAGTGTGGCCACTGAAAAATGTTTTTAATTTATTTCACATTTGCTTGTTTGAGCGTAATTACGTTTGTGCTGTTGAGGCAAGGGATAAAGACCTTCATGGATCAGGATAACTAGAAAGAGCTGTGTGCACTGTTTTCCTGCTTCTCTAGCAACATGAAGAAAATACTTATCCCTGCTGGTCACTTCCTACTGCATGCGTGCATACACACACACACACACACACACACACACACACACACACACTAATTTGGTTGTCTTAGAAAGCATATTTCATTTGATTTCCTTTGAAATACCTGCTTGATGGAAATGCTGGAGAATGTTATCTGCTGAGGGGACATAAGAGACACCTGAAATCCAGTCTCTTAGATGCGTTGACTTAGATGCCAGTTTGGCCACTAAGCACTGAGCACTTGGACTGGGGTGCTGTGCTCAGTACTGTAGATCCACCAGAGCACATAGACTTCACAGTACCTGCTGCAATATATCACATCATCTTTATTTCATTGAGAGGCTGCATAGTGTGTCCAGGGTTGTCAGCTAGTAGTAGGTGGCAGAGCTAGGATTCACACTTCCATCTGTCTGCCTCCAGCGCTTGAGCATTAGCATAACCCTGCTGTACTGTGTCCTTTGTTGATAGGGATGATTCAGATGATTTTGCTAAAAAAAAGTCTTCAGATTTCCTAGAAATTATTTGTTTTTTCTACTTTATAAAATGTTACTAAAGTCTCTTCCACTATCCTGAATTCAGAGTCCTTTACACTTTTTTTTTCCCCCAGAAAACAGTTTTTATCCTTTTAATTTTTACATGTGTTTTGTAAGAACACAAGAATAATCGAACTTATTCCAATTTGGGAATTCTTAGACCTCTGCTTACACGTTCCTGCTATGCGTTTTTTTCATCAAGCAAGGCATAAAGCATTTTAATCTCTCCGGGAGTTCGATGCTGCCCTCTGGGTCCATGGACTCCTGCAGTTACACGAGTGAGAGAAGGTCTGTCAGCCTCTGGATCCAAGGTCAGTAGGCAGAATGTTTGTAGAAACTGACAAGCTAATCCTAAAATTCATGTGGAGATGGGAAGGACCCAACTAAAACAATCTTGAAAAAAACAATGTTGGAAGACTCCTACTTCCTGACTCCAGAGCTTACTACAGCTACAGGGATTGAGATGGCATAGTACCAGCCAGGCGCTAGACACACAGGTCCATGGAATAGAACTGAAAGTCCAGAAATAAACCCATACATCTAGGATCCATTGATTTTCCACAAGCATGCCAAGAGAACCTAATGAGGAAAGAACTTTTTTAATTAATGGTGCTGGGAAACTAGACATCCACATGCAAAAGTGGGAAGTTGGACTCTTACATCGTGTACCAGAATTAACTCAAAGTAGATTCTAGGCCTAAGTTTAAGAACTAAACTCTACAGCGTTCTCTCTCTCTCTTTCCCTCCTCTCTCTCTCCTCTCTCTCTCTCTCTCTCGATCTATTTTATTTGAGAGGGTGTATGCACAGGGAGGGACAGAGGAAGAGGGAGAAGCAGATTCTGCTACACTCTACAGCTCTTAGAAGAAAATATAGGAGTAAATCTTTGTAAACTTGGGTCAGGCAAAGTCTTAGTTGATACAACAGGAAAATAATTCTTGGTTTAGAAACTTTAACTGTTACGGAAAAAGTAGAGCTAGAGAGATGGGTTCAGGAATAACTGTATTTTTAGGTTTAATAAAATAGAGACACAGCATGAAACAAACTAGTAATGTTTTGATATGTGTTAACTTACAGTAACGGGTGTTGTCAGATTTCTTTCTCTAATCCTGTGATTACTAGGAACTTGTCAGTATCCTTCCCACAGTTTCAGGAAAATGTGTGGTCTTGTTTTGCTTTCTTGCATGTAGTGTATATGCACTTAGGGGCATTTTTTCCTTCCTGTCTCTGTGTCCAGTATTCACAGCTTCCCTGATTCCTGGTGTTTGGGTTGTTGACTAGGAACTCTCAGGCCCTTTGGTGGCCCCTGCAGGCAGCACAGAGCAACTTGGCTGTATGCAATGGTCAGAGTCTTTACTCGACTATATTTCAAAGACCCTCCCAGCTTAGAATTTAATAAACATTTACTGAGCACCCCCATGTGCCAGGCACAGGATGAATGGGATGTCCCTGTCCCCATGGAAGTCAGGCTCTAATCACCAAGTCACCAGGGGCCCCTGGGCCAGGCAGGGGCTCTGATTTGACTCTCTGCGGAGGCCACAACATACAGATGAGGGTGGGCAACTTCCTTCCTTCCTGGGCCCTCCTCACCTTGTTCTCTTCCATACCCAGGCCCCCTCCTAGCCAGCCTCTCGGGAAGGACTTTGTAACCAAATCCTAGTGGTTGACTCTAAGAGGGAGGTTGTGCGTGCAGGGCAGGCCCCGAGGTCCACAGGCAATGCTCTGCCTGTACTCGCTTTTGAGAGCATGGCTTCACTGGACAAGGAGCACCTCTTACTGCAGAATTCTCAGAAATCCTCTTAGGGAAATCAGAGCGGGGAGCGGGAGGAGCCAAATATTCATGTCGTTTTGCATTAAGTTTTAACTTGAAAACATCCCCAAAATGTATCTTTTCCAGTTTTTATTTTGTCTATGGAACCAAGGCACGGCGAGCTCCCTGAGCGTGTGGGATACCCGCTGCTGCCCCTGTCCTGACACCCTTAGGTCCTGGCGGAGGGGTGAGTGTAGACTGGGGGGCTCACCCACGGCCCTGACGGCAGAGGAGGCATGTCTCACCGTCTGGTCCCCAGGAAGTTGAAACGAGGTGAGGTGGGGCTTTGCAGCTGGGTCCTGAGACCAGGGTCTCCCCACAGTCGTTGAGTCATCGTGCCAATGGAGCGGGCAGGGCGTTTCCCCCCCCCCCAAGAACACCGCACACAAGCACTGCTTGGGACTCTTTTGTAGGAGCTCGGCAGCCCCCCACCTATGAACTCCTTTCCTCAGCCTTCCCCTCCATACCTTACCCCCCATTCTGCTGGAAGGCTTGGGGGTTTGCCGAGCAGAGATGGAGCTTCAGCGATGACCCCTCGGAATCTGTCCCCGCAGGCTGTGGATTCTCTTCCCGCCCGCAGAGGTCTTCAAGCAGCTCTCCTTTACACCTGCACAGCCGCAGTCCTGGAGAAGCCAGACACCTCAGACCTGCTGGCACTCCTTTTATTGGCAGGATGGAGGAACGGGGCTCAGGGGTGGTCCCCGCTGTGTTGTCCTGAGGGTGCGGTGCATCCGTGCTCCTCCTCCTCGCTCACCCTGGCGAAGCGGGAGTGCATTCCTCCCCTCAAGTCAGAGTGTCCCCTTCCTTTCCTCCACCTTCCTCTTCCGCCAGCTCCATGCTTCCTCCTTCGTGAATGTTACATTTCTGGAGGAAGTGATGAGCTTGGGGAGAGGAAGTGGCCCCAGATGCCCCTCATCTGGGGACCCTCCCTTGGAGGCACACAGTAAACAGACCCTGGGGGCGAAGCCTGGTGTCATTCCCGGTGAAGTCAGAGTGCAGGAACGGGAACTAGGGGCCCTGTGAACCACGGGAGTTCCCACCACCGCTGACACCCACCCACCACCCCCTCTCCTCCCTCCACGTTAGCACACTCCCCTGACATCAAACAGCAGAAGGGGATGTTAGCTAATTTGAGCAAACACAGCAACAAAAAACCTTGCAAGGCTGTGTGGCAGTTTCTCATGAAGCTGAGGAGAAGCTGAAGGTCCTCACGTCCAGGGACCAGAACTGCAAGGGAATGGATGGGGTGAGGACAGGTGCACCATGTCCTTGGACTTACTGCTGGGGGGTGTGGCCCCAGCCCCAGCCGTTTGCTCTTCAGCTCTCTCCTTTCAGGATTCAGGTACTCCGGATCTCCAGGGCCCAGCCTGCACTCCTGGGCTGAGAGCTAGTTTCCTAGACTGTCCTTTCCCAGAAGGGAGTCAGGGATGCTCTTAGGAGGAGGGCGAGTGGATGCAGGGGAGCCATGAGGTGAAGCCCCCTGTGCATCTCCTCATCAGATATCCATCCGGCACCTGCTGTGCACCAGGGTGCCAGGCAGGTGTGGAGTCCACAGCGGGCAGGCCCATCTCTCCCCTCAGGGCCGCCTGCACTGATCACTGACTGGAGATGCACTCACTTTCTCTTACCATGATTCTGTGCCTGGGTCCTTCCCTGTCTGGGTGACCTTCGGGCATAACCGCCCTGGAAGCCTTTCCTCACCCCATCCTGCCCCATCTCCTGCATGCCTCTCCAGACTTTGTCTCCCAGACCCTTTACGGTCAGTGCTCTCACTGTCCCACATCTGTCCCTCTGTTCTGCAAGCTCCATGAGTCCTTCTCGGACTCCTCTCTCAGTCCCTGGCATCTTGCTCGGTTCTGGTTGACGCCCTATCAGTGTTGAATGAATGTGGCGGTGGCCAAGCAGGAAGGCCCTGGTGATGGCCGAAGAGGTGGCCCCGCCCTTACTTGGGGGACTGCCCACCATCCAAACGCCCAGGTGGCATCTGAATGCTTTCCTTGTACTCGTCGGGACTGTACTAGTACAGGAGAGGGAGAAAAACAGATCACCCAGTAAAGCTTGAATAAACTTTTGGTTACTTTGTGTGAGGGTAGGAATTACAGAGAACATTCCTGGAGTCTGGAGACCTAGTTGTAGTCTGTGCTGCGTCCCCAGCTTCTGAGATCTCAAGATGTCCCTGCACTTCCCTGGGCTCAGCTGCTCCATCCTTCAGATGTGGAGTTGACCCATGGCAGGGGCTCCTCGCCACACTCCCGTTTTTCTAAGTTTGTGCAGAGATGAGGAGATGACTGGCCTTTGGGACTCCCCTGAATTCGGGGGTGGGACTTGTGGCCTTGCGCGGCTGCTGCCGGTCAGGCCCTCGTAGGCTGTTCCAGGCAGTCACTTCTGTTCAGGTCACACGGGGGCGGGGGCCGTGTCCCATCTCAGTTCACAGCCTATTGTGAAAACTAGTCCGCAGACCTCCTCCACTGCTTGAGCTATCCCTTCGCGGAAGCTGGGTGGGACTCCAGAGTGCTCTGGAGCTGGGCTCCCTCCCTCAGTCATGAAACCTGCCTCACCCCCTCCAGGCCTTCCAGGCTCTTCCTGGAGAATATTGCCTATTGAGGTTTGAAGAGAAGGAAAGAACTGTGAAGCCTGCTCTCTTGCTTCTTCCCACAGGTCACCAAGGAAAACAGAAACCACCTTTTGCCAGATATTGTGACGTGTGTGCAAAGCAGCAGCAAATGAAGATGGTTTGTGTTCCTGTTTTGTGCACTTCAGGATGCGCTGGTTCACACCAAGCCTCATCAGTGCCCTGCCTGTCAAGGATTCATGCCTTCAGGCTTATGAAACCTTATGGGCTTTTCCAGAGAAAGCCTGACAGCTGTTTTCCATAAAATGTTTAAAAGATCAAATTAGCCCAAATGCTGGATTGGCGCGACAAGATGAACAGTCCACTGCGCTTTATTTATGTGGAGAGGTTTCTGTTTATTTCCTCTTGCAGTTGTGCGTATGATTTTGGTAAATCATGAAATGAGAAATGGTTTTCAGAGTATTAGATGGAACTTGCCCCCACTGAAGTTTATAAGGGTGTTCTGGGGAAGGGGGAGGGGAGCGTTCGCTATCTAATCAGTTCTGCACATAATGAAAATTAAAGCCCTCTCCAGGTGCAGCTTTAGCTTAAAACTGGTTACTTCAGAGAAAAGCCATGTGAGGTCCTCCCCACCCGTCTCATTGTTTATTTGATTGCTTATTGCTTAATAAAATACAACTAAATGTGGTTGCAAACATGTGAGCCCTGTGTGGGAGGGGCGTAGAGTCTTGAGAGATGTTGACAGTGTGCGGTATCCGCAGGCTTAGGCCTGGGGGTTCAGGTCAGAGCCCCCCACTTTCGCCAAATCAACTTAGACATGGCCTTAAACTGTTCTGTGTCCTGAGTCCGAGAAAAAGTGGGAAATGAGTGTCAAAGGAGGGCAGTGCCGCAGCATGGGAGGACGCCATCAGTGGCCATCTGTGTGATCCCCAGAGTGGGCCCGGGGCTAGGGGCGGGGGCTGTCAGTAATGGGACAAAGATCACGCTCTGCCCCCAGCAGGGCAAGTGCTGACAAAATTGCAGAAACCCCAGAATCCATGAAGGGTAAGCACTGCCCTGGTTGGTTGATGGTACTGTAGTGATAATCAGTACAGTGCTTTCAGGTCATTTTTGGTAAAGATCTATGAATTTCCAGGATATTTTAGCAGCTAGCCTTAGTCCAAACCCAGCGGGCATTCATGCCAGGCCGTGCCCCTGTCTGTAATCACGGCCCAGTCTAGGCGTGTGGAGCAAGGTGCGCCCTGGGCGCTGGGCACACTGCATTGTGCAGGAAGCACCTGCGTCTCTGAGCCAAGACGATGGTTGGTAGCCTATTACGGGCTTTTTGGTGAGCATGCTTTCCTCGGTGCTTTTCCCCAAGGGAGCCTCCTGAAGCTTGGTGTGGATTTCCTAAGCTTTAGAGGGATGCCATCTGAAAGGCCTACTAGATGGTGAACTAATAGGAAGGGTGCCTGGTCCAATATGCAGAAGAAGGCGTCTCTCTCACTGTCTGGGCCCAATTGGGTGGTTCAGGGAGACTGAGCTCATGATGTCTGACGGGTCCCCTGGGACTGAAGGAGCATACAGGTGTGGTCTGGGAGCCCGGCCCCTGCATCAAACCTACTCATTCAACTCCATGGTGCTGAAGAGCCCCACTTGGCCTCAGGTGAACTCAGGAAACAGGACAGGCTGAGTAAGTGTCACCCACTTGCCACAGAGACAGACCCAGCGCCAGACCTGGTGCAGCTGGTCTGCCCTAGCTGACGGAGCCCATCAGACAGAGCCTTCACTGGCCCTCCAGGGGTGCAGCCCCTTGGAGATGTCCACTGTGCCAAACAGACTCGGGGTGGCCCGCAGCACGTAGGGGCTGAGAGCTGCTGCATACTCTCTCTTCAGTGGTAAAGAAACATGCCTTTACTGGCAGAGAGTTTGAACCCAGTCCCTGTGCTCCAGAGCCCATGCTCCTCCTCTCTCCCACTGTATTCCTGTTGGTGTTCTCCTCCTTTTCAGGGCATCATGCACCCCCAGATATCAGAGTTGACATTTAGCTGCAATAAACCGTAGCAGCTATCAAATGGAAGAGCATGGCGTGTTAGCTACCGCACAGTCCTTAAGTAATTACTGTACTACTTTGTCAAACAGGATGATCAGGGGCATGTGTGAAGATACTCAGTGCAATCCCTGTATTTTAAGAAATGAAACCTGAAAAGGATAATGTTATGGTCTGAATGTTTGTATCCCCCATAAATTCATGTGTTAAACTCTAGCCCCCTGTGTGATGGTGTGAAGAGGCCTTTGGGAGGTGATTCGGTCTTGAGGGTGGAGCCCTCATGAATGGAAGAGACCCCAGAGAGCTCTCTCCCCTCTGCTGTGTGACGTCACGGCCAGAAGCTGGCCGTCTGTGAACCCGGAAGCAGGCCCTCACCAGACCTGGAATCTGCTGGTGCTTCCAGAACCCATGAGAAATAAGTGTTTGCCGGGTAAGCCCCCTACTCTGTCGTATGGGATAGGATGAGTTCACAAGTGACCCTGACTCAGGGCCCCACATGCGCAGCCGTTAGAAAGGGCATTCTGCTGAGGCTTAAAGGAGGGAGAGACTCAGAGGCAGGGCCCCATTTGAGGGAGAGCACCGTTTGAGGCCTGCCTACTGAGCAGGCCAGGACCAGAGGAGGAGCCAAGTGCGCCCCCCCATCTGCGCTGCTCCCTTCGGGCCGGGAGGGGTGCAGTGGCAAGGACAGGCTGGCATCAGGAGTTCTCATTTACTCCTGGGCTTGAAATGGCTACTCTGCAAGCAAACCCAGACACCTAACAGACCCCTGGGTCTGAGGCCAGACTTGGAAGAATTCACTTTGAAAAGCACGAAATGGATGTACGTATGGCTGGATGACGAATTTAAGCTGGAATAACATGGCGGCTGGATGGGACAGAGCAGAACTGATTTGTTGGAGAATGAGTTCACCAAATCCTTCCTCTTCCTCCCGGAGTAGATTGTACCACCAGCCACTTAACACACACATTTAAAAAAAAACAATTTCTTTTTGCCTCTGAATGTACATGTACAGGGATGGACAAGTTTTCAAATTCATCGACTGTCATCTGGCTGTTGTGGCTGATGTACATGGCTGCCAGTACAGTTGCTGTTGAGTGGCTTACTCCATTCCCAGCCCTCAAGCCCTCAAGCGCAGGGTAGGGGGCCATGGTGGCCCAGAAAAAGTGGAATGGGCCTTCTTCCTCTTTCTCTTCCTGTCTTGGAGTTCATGAAGGTTGTGTCTGGGAAGATCACACACGTGTGCATGTGCTTGTTTGCATACAAATGCACGCTGATGGCAGGTGCCATGTCCCTGGAGTGTAATGACTTAGACAAAACCCCTGGCGGTGGAGGAGGCCTAAAGGGCTGAGTAAACAGGGGTCTTTGCATTGCACACATTTGGGGCAAGGAGAAGCTGGAGCCTCAAATGATTTTAGAAACTACTTGCCAGACAGATGGTTTCAAGACAGTGCAAAATTTAGAATCAATAATGCCAGATTAGCCACATGATTTATATAAAACCAACCACTACAGTTTTTAGATCATTTTTAGAGGAGAAACAATTTTGTTCAGTGTCCAAATGCAAAAAATAACCCTGTGGTTGTATGCTGGCAGCACATTTAAATAACTCCAGCATGAGATGTCACTTTAGGAATATTCTCTTAAATGGAGGCTAATCCAGTCTTTTGCAAGAAATACTCTGATAGACAGCTGACTGGCTGAAGATCAGATTAACAAGTTTGTGTCTGTTGGGGCACCTGGGTGGCTCAGTCAGTTAAGCATCCAACTCTTGGTTTCAGCCCGGGTCGTGAGCTCATGGTTGTGGGATTGAGCCCAGCGTCAGGTTCTGAGGCCCTGTGCTCAGCACATAGTCTGCTTGGGATTCTCTCTCCCCCTCTCTCTGCTCCTCCCCACTCCCTGCACGGATACACCCTGTCTCCGAAATCAATCAATCAAGGTCATTTATTGTAAATATAAAGGTTGTGTGCCACAATGTAGAGAAAAAGTGTGACTGCGTTGCTGCCAGGCATGCAGGGCACGGGAGTGTATCCAATCCCATCTTCCCTTCTGTGGGCACACACATCCGTGCACGTGTGTGTGTAGGCACTCCCAGCATGCACGCCCAAGATGATTTTACTCTCTCTGACCATGCAGACCTACATTCAGATCAGAGGACTTTGGCCTTACTGTTGACGGCCACAGCCATCCTCGTCAGCTCGCTCTGCACTGAGAACCAGGACGAGCAGTCGGGTCAGTGGGTGGAGAAGCAGCTCACGAATCTCTAGCGGAGAACATGGGCCCGGAGCATTTGCGCTTCTCATTTGTGTTACCGTCTCTCTCCCTATCAGGCTTCCAGCTCTGTCAGAAGATCCACCTTCTGTGGACACAGTGGCTTTCTGGATGTCTTGCTTCCAGATGCCCAAGGGGGTGGTCAGCCCACATCAGGCTGGGTGCTGCCAGCTGGTCGTCATCTGTCTGATTTAATTCAAAGAGATGCCCTTTGTGGGGAGGCCACGCTCACAGCTCACAGCTGGCCAGTCAGTGCTTGGGCTGGGCTGTGAAGTTGCCCAAGATTTCACGGGCTGCCAGCCAGGCGTGGTTCGGCCGATTCAGGGAACTGCAGGGCGCTGCTATCAGCTGCTCATTAGACCTGCATTTAAATTAATAATAACCAACTTTGCATCTCCAGGGATTGCTGATTTTAGAATAATGTACAGTGTCTCTGACTACAGAGCCCACCTATTAATTGGCAATTTTTAGTTTGAAAGAAAAATAAAAGCATTACCATCTACTTCAAGGGGAAAGAAGTTCTGTGCCGTGCCCTCCCCGCCTGAATCCTAGGTACCGTGAAGAACCTTGCCAGACTAGTTCGGAAACGACCATTTCTAACTGTCGTCTTTCCAGAAGGGATAGTTCCCCGGGTCGGTGACGGTGTTCCCCCTAGACTGTTGTTTCCGGGCCCCTTCACCCTCCCGTACATCCACAAGAAGCCAGGTTTCTGCTTTACCCGGCCACAGCCTTCATGTGGGGGAAGTCCCAGAACTTGTGTAAATGCCGTTCTCTTAATCAAGGATACAGCAGAACTCAATCACACACGGCAGTAACTGTAAACATTTTAATCCCAAAAACAAAGGGGTGTGCAAGTGTTGTGTGGCACGGTAAGGACTGGCTGGCTCGGAAAACAAGCGGACATTCTGCGCGTGGGCAGGACCACCGGGCTCGTGGGAACCCGCCTGATGGCGGTTGAGCGTCAGTGAGTCCGATGGCTTTCCAGGCTCCCGTGGGACTAGATTTCTGTACTTGGGTCGCCAGTACCGCTGGGTGTTCAGAGTGACTGCATGCACTACCACGTTTCTTGGAGTAAAGCTGCCACTGGTTTATACTTCACATCTGCATAAATGCTACAAAGAGGTGAGGCTGCCCTTAGGCGTAGATTGACCCTACTGTGTTTGACCAGTGGATGGTAGGACACGTGCTGCTGTCCGTTTCTGGGACGTGCGTGACAGTGATGTGTAAGATGCCAACTGGTTAACATGCAGTTTTCTTCAGGGCAGGAAAGAGTTACTGAGGCGCTCTACTTACTCTAGTTGTTTTTAAGATATTACATGGCTTTTGTTAGAATTTGCAAATTCTGGAAGTTGTGCGTGCCACGCCGGGGAGCTCCGGGGGCAGCTTGGAGCGGTGTCG